TTGTTAAGTCACTCTTATCTAAAAAAATAATATGGAAAAATGATGGAATAGCGAAACCCTAAAAGGCTAAAAGACGATTGTAGTCAGAAACGTGTTCCATAATAATTTTTAAATATGAATCACGTCGCTCTATTGCGTATTACTTCATAAAAACTTGTAGCTGATATTCGTTTATTATTGGGATTTGCATGTGAAGCGTTAATTGTGTGGTTAATTTTCACTGGACGATAAATCCAATGAAAATGAACAACATTCATCGCCCGTACTCTATAAAATAAAGAACACGTCTTTGTCTACAGTTGTTACTGGAATTCAAAGAGTTTTCTATATTTTAATATTGGCCCGGGTCTGGATGTTCTGCCTAATATATCTCTTATTTCAGATTTCTGTAATATAAAAACTTTAGCTATTTAATTATACATCTGAGCAATGTATACAATGTCGTCTTATATTTATTTATGTAAACAATATCCCACCGCACATAAATGACTGTTGTTTCAAACGTGACACGCTCAAAAACTTCACACAATATTTTCGTAAGATATCATAGACGACGTAAGACAAGTAGATAAAGCAATTATTGAGAAAGATTTATCGGTATGAAATATTAAAGTTTCCTGTAAAGTGGTTAAATTACCAGTCTAATTGTTCAAGATGTCACAATAACTACGCCTACAAAACACAACCTTACAAAACTGGGGCAGGTTGCCAGTATAGAGCTATTTTGTCGAGCTCGATGTAGGAGTTATCGCGCTCGGTCTGGGATACGGTTGTTAGGCAAATTTCCTCCATGCTTCGGATGGTTCGATAAGCCGTTGGTCCCGGCTGCATCTGAAGTTGTTAATATACAAAAATCGCAATAGGGGCCCGCGTGGTGGGTCATGGCTCATTCTCCGAATTCGATTTGTTTCGATTACACCCATCTCTTATCCTGGAGGCCTCCAAATGGTTGCAAGGCCCCTTGATCAAAGGATAAATTCAGGTGGTACTGCCTTATATTTCTTATGTTTAGTTTCGTAGTTTTAGCTGGCGTCTTAGCAGGTAGGGGGGAGAGTAAACGCAATATCAAGTTTCTGCACCAGTTCGAAAAAGTTGTAGAGCCAAGTCTGATGCCGCCCCGGGCTCCCGACTGGGTTAGTCCGCCATGTCTGGGTAAGCCCAAGCAGTGTGCCATGAATCAGCTGGTGATAAACTATACTTTTCGCAATACTTCACGTCATGCAGCATCGCATTGACAATTGTCTATGTTATATCTTCACGCCGTATCCCTAGCCTAGGATCGAGTGCCACAAGGCACGTTCCTTAAATATGTGGGTGCCTGTGCTGTGATAATTCCACCCAGTATTCCAATTTCAGAAGGTGTAAAATGAAAAACAATTGTTACAATCGGCGCACGGACAGACAAATGCATACAATCGTATGGAGAGAGCGAACGATGTGCGTCGTGGTTAATCTCACACTAGCGATAGGGGAAGCAAGTCAATTACTTATTTTCAATAGCCATCGCCATTGTTGTAAGAAACAAGCATACAATAGGATGGTATTAAGTGGCTAGTACAGCGCGTAAGCTATACTTGCGCGTGGTTAATGCTATGCGTTTTATAGCTAAGTCGCCTAACATTATATATTATTTTAAAGTAGTAATGTATATATCATAAATATTTTTTTTATTAATTATATAAATATATCGATATAAGTAAATTTTAAAGTTTCATTACAATAAGCTAGTTATAGGTTTTAGTGTAAATTTTATTGTTTTTGTTAATGTAAATAAATTAATTTATTTTGAATAAATAAATATATGCAGATAAAACATAAATATATAATATGAGACGCCACACATACGTTTTTCGCCTCCCCCACTTTCATTACTTTTTTCATACACAGTCGCCAGTTTTTATGGCTTCTGACAGCACTTTCTAACAGCACTCAATTTGATCGTGAGAGATCATGTTATGAATCGACTGTGGTTTTTGATGATTTAAAAAAAAAAAAACATATATGGCACATTCTGAATTCTTCGTTTCTGATATGGCATTAGTCGAATTAATATGTTAAAAAAACTTACTTTATTTTGAACAATACATGAGTTCATAATTAATTACCTGATTTAGTCTTGTTTTTAAGCCATAACAATTCATTAAAAAGATATACTCTCCGAGCGCTCCCAAGTAACAGGAAAGGGCTTACTACATTTTCTTTGCAAATAATGAACAATTGTTATTTATTTCCTTTATAAAAATAAGAGGTATATAGTAACAATGCGAAATACACAATTTCTTTTTTGTTATAGCAAAACAAGGCCTTGGAATAATGGTTATTAGTATGAAGCATTTCTCTGATATAAATGCGAATACTTACAATAACTTTAACAACACAGAAATAAAGTATTATTTAACAACATCTTTGGCATACGGCTCCGCTTAAAATTTAATTACTTATTCATTATCCGTTTTTTAAACTTTTGCAACCCTTAACTTAACATTAGAGTTCTTTTTAATAGTAATTCAAAGTCATATTAAACAATCTACACTCTAACGTATCACTGGAATTCTCTTTGCTAACATTCTGCTGTCAAATGTTAAATGTCATATATGTCATTTATTTTTTCAATTCATGTTAACATTCAATTTCATTGTGAATAGAAAGATAATTATTCAACTATTAGTTTTATATCTAAACATAATATATTTTATTATCTGTATCAAGTAAGATTACCGTAGTTTTTACAACACGCAACTAATTCATATAGGCACACTGTACGCTTACATTTACTTTTTTTACATACTAAAATAAAAACAATTTAAGATTTCGAAATATGCTACCGTGATAACAAAATTATTCTATTCTAAATTTGATGGTGACAGACAGATGCGTCAGATATACTTTGATAATAGATGGTAATAATTATTACTGATTTTAACATCTAATACTTAGATTACAGCTTATATAAAAAAGGTAAAGACTTAGACAGACTGATCTATTAATGAACAACTCAAACTACAAGCCAGACTGAGTTGAAATTTGCGACATATAGGTTCGCTGATATAGGATTTTGAAAAATTCAACCACTGATGGGGTTAGAGAGGGTTTAGAAAACGACTTAATCCACGCGAGCGAAACTGCGGGTGGAAAACTACTCGAATGTACTACTAAAAGTATAAAATCACAAAAAACTGTATTCATTTTTTTCTTTATACACGTCTGCAATAAAGAAAATAGTGTGGCGTCTTTTGTATAAAACTATATTTCAAACTTATAACGCCTTGAACGGGTACTAAAAATAGGTGAACGACTCAAGTAATGACTTTTAAAGACATTATTACTTCCCAAGTCATTCTCGCTAAAGCTTTATGCGTCATAATGTTGGACGTGCCTTGAAAAATGGTTGACAACCTCGGTATGAAACGCTAATTAACTATACAACGCAATCCTTCGTAATTATGTTTCAAATCGGCGCCGGGTGGTTCGGTGCGGTGGCCTGAAAGTCTCAGAGATAAAATTTAGATCAAAAGATTTTTTTTCTCTAAAGAAAACGAGGCGATAATCTTTTAGAGTCGACCTTTGTTGAAGGGTTGGAAAATTTCAAGAGGTGATCAATTTAATTTCTTTTCCAATATTTACGCGATAGGCAGATCGTGAGGTTTAAACGCTGTACAACTTTTTGAAAGCCATTTGATAAGTTAAAAGTTGCATTTATCATTTCAATAATATAATCGATGAAATAAGTTTTATCCGATATAATCTCTATGCAGATTATGATGGTTATATCTAGCAACTAATTATCGTTTTCATAAATGGGCTTCATGTATGGGAGTTGGAGTGGTTATATAAACTCAGTCCCGTGGAACGATTTTTAATCTTCAATATTATACTAAAAATCCTTATCGAGGTAGAATAGTAGACTAATGGATGGAAGAACCATAAATAGGAAGTGTCTGTTATGATTTCGTAGACGCGTTAGAAGTCACTTTGTAACTGTGCGTCGTACCACCGACCGTTTATTTCGTCCTAGATATCCGCATGTAATCTTTTTGTCTATGATCTTCAACATAATTTATTTTTAATTTTTCACCTTTCGTAATTTGAAATTTTGAGTAATCCAATATGCTCTTTATGAATGTCAGTTTGTAAAAAAAAACCATCTGGTGTGAACATGGTAATTTAATCATATAAATTTAAATTCATAATTCTACTAATAATAAAGTAATTATAATTTAAATAAAAAAATGTCAATCTAAAAGTATATCTTCGTGAAATATCTACTTAGTTTTTTTTTATTTTACCCTCAAATAAATCAAATTTTCTAGCTTAGTCAGCCTTTTATTCATTTCCCTAAGCATCGAACCCGTCACAACCCTCTAGGTTATTCCTTGACACCAGCCATCAATCGCTTTGCTTACTTTTTGCTCGTGCTCCTCATATTAAAATTTTAATAGAGACTCCATCTGTCAGAAACATATCTATGCATCCATGTATAGCCTGGAGGCCTACTCGCTTACTCGAAAACGAAATTTCGTTAACGAACGAAATTAAAACGAAATTTCGCATGGAACGCTACTCTTTATCATTTTCGTATACACCAACGAATGTTCGTTTCCAAAGACAATTTTCGTGATCGATTGGAGTGAATGGCGTTATTGGATTTCTTATAATGTCAAATTCCGGTTTTACCGTAACTTGAAATATATAATATTAAACAATACATATATTTCTTTTAAATAAAATTTGAGTGGCTAAACATTGTTTAAACATAAATATTATAATAATATAACGAAAAACTTAGTATATTAATGAATTTTATTTTTCGTTACAACTTATCAAGACACTATAAAGAACTCTTTTATCCACAGTATTAACCGACATATTTAAAAACAACCTTTCATTTATACGATGGCTATAATCAACGTATGGCAATCTTAAATATCCGTATAATACAAACAATTCTCATCCGCCAAAAGTTTTACAAGTTTTCACCAAACTGTTCAGTGTTTACTAATATTTTATTTAATTATTGTGAGTTCCGAAATTTATCTTGACAATTCAGTAAAAAACTTTATAATTAAGTATGTAAGTAATATTTAGTTTTTCGGCACAAAAAAGGTTTTTAGTAATAAATTTACTTTTTGTCAGTCATATTTTTCAGGCATAATAAAGCCTATATGCCTCGTAAAATCTGTAATATTAATGACATAATTCTATAGGTAATTATTCACAATTCATACATAAAGCCAAAATAAACTATTAGGTACTCACTGTCTCTTAATAAGATTCCTTTCAATTTTTTTTATCAAGAACTACGATAAAATATCTTCCAAGTTTAATTGTGGACTCGATGGCATGAGATCTTGCCTGTGGACGCAGTAAAGGTATAATCTCTTGGCATAGTTCTTGAAATAATTCACATCTGAGTCTGTAAATACTTACAAACTCAGTATCGAGAATATTTCTTATATTAAGGCTATTTCGAAGCCGCTGCCGATTTCTTCTACGGTCTAATCGTTCTTTACTGAGAGCTGACTCGATTAATAGTAATATAGACCCCATTTCGAAAATAAAAAATTGCTCACGAAAATGAAAAGGTAACATTTTTTACTTCGTCAATTTGAGGTAAGAATTCCGAACAATTAGATGTCAAACTCAAATGTTCGTTTTGTCATTTCGTGAAATAGAGTAGGTTTAGAAAATAAATATGTCAAACATTTTCGTTCGTTGAATATTCGGAACGAACGTAATTGTGGTAGGAAACGTCCGAAATTTCGAACGATATTTCGTTTTTCGGTGAAATAGAGTAGGCTTCCTGATCTTATCGCTAGTGCAAGTTAAAGTTATACATTAACTCAGCACAGCGGCGATTCTTTCCGTTTATTTTTCAAATCTCCCTAGTTGACGGTGAAACCAATTATTGAGATAAATCGTTCCCGCGAGGAAAAGCGGACACTGACGTAGAAACTCGTTGCCTACGTTTAGAAAGATCTTAAATTTCCTCGACCTTTTGTTTATTTAGTTTTTTCTTAAAGTATATAATATATATATTATTATAATCGTTTATCAGTTGAATAGTTATAAACTGTGTTGCTGCTCAATTAAAGGAGTGCCTAATATTTTCAAAAATAAAACAAATTTTAAGTTAAATAACTGAAAAATATTTGTTTAAATGAATTTCTAAAAAATATTTGTCTAATGAATTTCGAAAAAAAAGTGTTATGTTTTAGCTACAATAAAAAATGCACCAATAATTTTCGTTCCCTCGTGTCACTGATTTCATTCTCTAGCGTGTAAATCAGACATAAATATAATGTTTGTGTTCTCACGATTTTTTTTTTATTTTTGTTCCACAAGCAAAAATAAAGGTTAACATCAAGTAAGAAAGTATAATTTATTCCTATCGCATAATACATGTCATTAGGGATTAGGATATGACGACAATATCTTGCGTGACCATAATAACAAAACAAACTCCCTAATACAGTAAAACGTAATATAATCAAATAATTGCCATAATCTCGTACTAAATGACACCAACATACTTTTGTGCTGTAATTTTATTATAACGTTCTTTTAAGAGCCTTGTTATGTATTATAGTGAATATAATTTGTACATTTACTTCAAAAGAGCCAAGCGACCGTAGTTCATAACTGTTGTTCTTCATTTTGGTCCAGACATTTCTAATTCAATTACTACTAATATAATATAATCATTAGATAAATGTCTCTCGTAATCATGCTTAATTGATAGCACAATAAATCAAGTTCTTATAATATGCTGAACATAAGAACTATGGCTTTGGTCTTTTAAACTTCTGAACAAGCTTTATGAGTTAATTTATTCTTTATATAAATAATAATAACAAATTATAAATAATACTTTATCAATAATAAGTAAATATTAAACAATAGCACGTACATTGTTTAGATTGAATTTAAACAATGTACGTGAATTCTAAACAATCTAAACAATGTTAGGGGTATTTAATACAAAGAAGGTACCACATAACCTAGGTCCAATGCAATTTAGAGAAGTCCATTTTATACATTGGCCTCACCGGGAATCGAACCTAAGACAAATGGCGACACCTTGAAACCTTCGCTTTAGAAGACTTAGTGGTGAGAGAGTGTAATTCACAGCTTAGATCGGATAACGCAACACTCGTTCTGCTGACGAGATTTTGATGGTTACTCTACATACATAATTTCATAGTAAACTGTTTCAATTTTCCTAGAGTTTAGGGAGGTCGGCCTCGGATCGGAGAGATTTAAAACATTTCGACTCACAGACGTCTAAGGTCTAGACGTTTGTGATAAAACTTCTGTACTGTATGTAGTGTAACCAAATATTTGAAATATATGAGCTAGATGTTACCTTAACCTTTATGTTAAATTTTCCACTGAAATCCTAAAGCGTAGTTTGTAAGTATGTAAAGTATTCAATAAACTTACAAAAAGCCTTTGATTTCGATATCTTAATGTGATTACATTTAAACGAACAATCTTTTTTAGGGTTCAGTTATATGATAAAAGAAAGTACAAATATTTCAATTTGTTATTTTTTATTATATTTGATCAATTTTGCAATCACAATGCTATACTGAAAAATACGGTTAATAAAAATCTACTTTCGCAATCCAGGCGACTGCTCCAGGGTCAAAGTGGATTTTTAAGCATTTTCCATTAGGAATATTTGTTGTTCTTTATTTTTTCTTGTAACAATGTGCTACTAAAACTTTCATTTATATGATTTTTAAGGGCTTAGGTAAAATTTTATGTAAAAGACTTTCTTTCGTCTTAAGAGCTATATCAAAAATTAACAAGGTGCTGAAGGTAGAATGAGCTCAATCTAACTTCAGCTGTTGACGGTGACTCATAATAATAAATATTCACTGCCCCAAATATAATTTGGAGTGTCATTGTTTAAGCTACTTAACCTAAACAGGGAAGGCGAAAAGGCCTTTAGTCTTAACAAGAAGTGAATTTTAATGAGAGTATCCCCTGTCAAGTACGGCTCCGCGCGGCAGGGTGTTCGGCAGACTTGTCGTATTGTCCCTAATTCTTATGATTGGATTAGTATTTCTATACAGTTGTTCAAGAACAGTATATCCTGTTTATATTTTAAATGTATGGTTTATATCAATCACGAATATACCTATGGCATGCAAAATATAGGTTCTGTTACAATACTGTTTTGCTAAATTTTGCTATCACGTTCACATTTATATCCCAATAATTCCAATATTTTCCATTTTTTTTATTTGAAATGAAGCAAAGAGAAATGAAAAATACCCGTTTAAGAAAATCTGTGTCCTAGAATTGAGCATAAGGTTGACATACTTCTAAAAAAATAAAAAAAAACACTTCAAATAATCTATAAAAAAGAGATAAACGAAGGAATGTTTAATTTTATGTTTAGATCTTAAATTATTGTAAGTCATTGATTAGAACCAGTCAGCTCAGAATTGCTTCTAATATGATTATTAGGCTGATTTTTTTTTATTAATTTCTTCTATTCTCAAATTTCTAGGTACGCAGTTGGTAATTAAGCTGATATACTGTGTACGTTTCAACTGGCAAGTCTGACAAACACTTGATGTTTTAGGTTCAATTTTAACGTAAAATAAACTTTATATCTGAAACTTTAAGGTGAGTTTTAGGTAATGATATTTGGTGTAGAATTTAATTAACAAATTGTAGGTACGGTATTTGTCTAGCAAACGCTATATTTTATAAGAATATGCGATATTAGATTTTCGTACGGGACATTTGGCACTAAGGGAGAGAAACACGAGTTTAAAGTTAGCGTTGTGGTAAAAGCTTCTATGATATTATTAAAGTATTACGTCGAAATGAGCTTTTCATGAATGAGTATAAATTACTTGAATGTTCAACATGAAACTAAACAATATTACTAAGTGCAAAAGCGTTAGATGTTAAAAAGAGGAATTAATATTTTAGTAGGATAAACAAAGTTTGTCGCAGACCAAAAACAATTTTAAGTTTTTTTTTTAAACGTGTTCATATTTTCCAGACTTCTCCAAACCTGAGAGGATCGCACATCGGCTTCAAGTTCACGCCACCCCTACGGTCCCGGATCCGATTCTCGGCCGGGTCAATACAAAGCAGAAAATTGATTTTTCTACAGTGTCTCGTGCCTGTGATCGTCTTTTATTTGTCTATACTTTATATTTACAAAGGTAGATTCTCCGTTTTTTATCCACCCTTTTGCTTATATATCCCTTTTTTCTCTTTTATATACATACACTAAACACATTTAATGTTATTGTATAATTATTTTAATAATTACATACAGGTTGTCAATTGTGTTCCAAGTTTTATGATATCTTAAAAGTACAATATTTACTTATCTGTAGATGAGTGTAGAAAATGAACTTTTCTATAATATCTTGTGTCTAGGTGTTGTGGTACATCGTTCTTACAGATATTCAGTAATATGAAAGTCATCTCGGAATCTGAGCAATGTATGTAATTTTGTCTAATCTCCTTATATAAATTGTCTAATATTTATTTATTATACATGTTTATAATTTTCTGAATATGTTCTCACAAATCGTAACATTTTATTGATTTTCCGACTGCATTATAGTGGTGGAAGTCGTGTAAATTCGGCAGTATAAACTTTGACAGTTGGAAAACTGCATTCCCGTAAATTTATGGCCCTCCGGGGCCATATATCATGCTTAGGCTGGACCTAGCGTGTTACTAAAGAGATTTCAGACCTACCTCGCTCGTTGGAAATTTCAAGTCTGCAACTTTATAAGAACCAGCATGTTGCTGAATTTTAATAAAGTTTGCTCTTGTTCTTTTAAGACCGCGTGCGCGAATAAGAATTTTATTTAAAAAATTGATGACCCACGTGATCGATATACAGATCAAAATTAATTGACACAATAGAATAATAGTCCGGTATAAAATAACAATTACCTATTAAGAATTAAGAATTTGAGTAATTGGCTGTGCCTTTGATGATTAAGATTTGAATTACCGATTGATATAGATTCCGTTTAAGATTTGTCAATTTGAAAATAATTTTATTTGATTTATTTACTGAACATTGACTTTAAATTGATTGAAGTTTTGTGCGCGTTATAAATATATTTATATATATTATTAGAGTCTAAAACTTAATGATTTCTTATCAAAGACGTACTATTTAAGAAATAATCATTCAATCATGCCTTCCTTGGGAAATCATCATGATCAGAAATGTGAAAGGATCAGAAATATTAATATAATTATATGTGATTTCATGGATTATAGTAATACAGGAATTATCGTTCAATTTAGATTGTTTATATCTTCTATTATCATTTGAAAGTATAAGACTGATCTTAATTCAAAATAACGAAATCAAGCTATTAATCGCTATCGTTTTAACGTTATTCCAATCGATAATATCTGAAATTATCAAGCAATGGAAAAGATATGATTTTTATTGAATATTTGGAATGGCCAAACTTTCGACAAGTCGTTATAACATATATCTACATTTATTTATGTACAACAATTTCATATATTTTTTTTTTCATAAAACAATTGCTCATGTTAAACAAATTCCGGCTATAAATATATCACGTTACGCCCACCAAATAATCTTTATTAGAATTCCATATATATGACAGAGTACCTTTCCGAAAAGAATAATGCTACCCTTCACACCCTCCACTTCCTT